GCCCCCGGGGGGCCAGCGGAAGCGGCCCGCCCTGCCACAGAACGACCCGAGCCTCCTGTCCCGCACCGAGGCAGCATCGCTGCTCTTCGACTGCAAGGAAGCTGCTGCTATTGACAGGGACACCTTTTTTGCCATTGGTGAGTTTGGCTCTTTAGGTGTTAGCGGCTTGGGAAATGCTTATCTGCCAAAAAAGAGCCAGAGAAAGACAAAGTGTGAACGTGACTCATCTTCAGAAAGGGCCAGAAGCCTAATTTGGGGCAGCCACTGGCTGGTCAACCTCATGTTGGTTCATGGAAAATCACCAAGTGGGTTTTGTTGAGGCATCATTCTGAGCACATGGTAACTGAGGCGGTAACTGGCAATATTCAACATTGTTTTACTAAGGGTAAATCATGCCTGATGAATGTGATTGCCATCTCTAGTAGTCATTGGATAAAATGGCTAGACTTGTGGACAGCAGCAGTGTATGCCATTTATTTTAGCAAAGCTTTCTACATTATTTCATGTAAAACTTGTGTATCGAAGTTGGGTGCACAATGAGATGGATAAAAGCCTGGTTGGATGTTCAGACTCAGGAGGAAATGATTAATGGGTTGCACCTGGAGCATGATAACAAGCAGAGCACTGCAGGGTCTGTTCTGTCCTGTTTAAAATCTCTTTCAGATCTGAAGGAGGTGATACAAGTGGTTTTTTTTCATGTTAGCAAATGACACTGATTTGGGGTGGGCTCCCTGGTGCCCTCTGTGCAGGGCTACAGTGTAAAGACACAGAGACAGCCTGGGAGAACAGGCCTGTAGGAACCTTCTGAAACTCGGTGAAGACAAGTGCTAAGCCCTGGTGGGCAGCGAGCTGAGCCCGAGCCAGCGGGCTGCTCTGCAGCAGGGGCGGCCGATGGCGCTCCGGGCTGTGTAAACGTGAACACAGCTGGTAGGCTGAGGGAAACTGTATCCTCCTTGTTCAGCACTTGATATACCATGTCTAGACAATTGCAGCCAGATTAGGGTCCCCCAAAATAATAAGGGCGTTGATTAAACTGGAGCGAGTTCAGCACAGGGGACTCAGGAGGTCAGGAGCTAGAGAACTTGCCCTGTGAGGCCAGGATGAGGGGACTGGGTTTGTTCAGAAGAGAGAACTTTGGGGGAGGGTCTAGTAGCAGCCTGGCAGTACCTACAAGGAGATTATCAAGAAAGCAGAGTCAGGCTCTTCATGGTGGTGCACCGCAACATGACCAGCCCAGGCTGGAACAAAGGAGGCTCTGCCTGGATATAGGGATGTCACGATGAGGTCAATCCAGCACTGGAAGGGTATGCAGTGTCCAGTGAGGTTGTGCAGCCTTCATCCTTGGAGGTTTTCAAAGCTTGGCTTGTTAAAGCACAGGGCAACCTGGTCTGACCTCAGAGCTGGCCCTACTTGGGCCAAGAGGTTGTTAAGCAGAGCCTTCCTGAGGTCCCTTCCAACCTGAATTGTTCTATGATTTCAGGAGAACATCCAGACCTCCTGCTCTTTGGTAACTTTATAGTTACAAATGATATAAGGTAGAAAAAGCCATTGCTTTGCACGCTTAAAGATGTTTGTACTCTTCTGTCTCCTTTTTCTTTCTGTGAATCTTTAATGAGGAATATGAAATTTCTTGAATAGGAAAACCATTTTTAAAGCCACAATAACCGACAGAAAGTCTGGGCTGCATTTGATAACATAGATCTATCTTAAGTAACAAGACCCTAGCCATGGGTCTGTTTCTAATGTACCACAGGTATTTCTGGGGGAAATATGCCTTGGATAGTTATTATGAAACTCCATGCATAGAATCATTTTTATTTTCCAGATTTTGCCAGCTACCTGCTTTCTATAGTTGTGTACTTTGTGCTTAGCCATTCACATTAACAAGCTTGTGCAAATTATTTTTTAATGTGGGTTACATTTTTACATGTATATGTATTGTGCATGGACTTTCATTTTTTAACACGTTCAGAAATGATCCTCTGTCTCCTTTTTCAGTTTGGTAATCACAGTAGGCTGGGGGGGACATTTGCAGATCATTTGATCCAACCACTGCTCACCTCAGTTAGCTCAGGTTGTCTAGAGCAGTTGTGCTTGAGGATGGAGGTTTTCACAGCCTCCCTGTGGGCATCCGATCCAATATTTGATCACACTCATAGGATGAAAGTCTCCTTATTAACTTAATATTTCCTGTGTTCCCACTTGTATCCATTGCCTCCTATCCTTCCAGTGTTCATCTCCAAGAAGCCTGGCTCCATCTTCTCTATAGCCCACATCATCCTGTTAGATAGTGGTAGTCAGCAATATATTTCCCCCTGTTTTTTTCCTGTCGAGGCCAACCAAACCCAATTCTCTGTGTCTTTCTTCTGGGTTGTCATTTCCCAGTCCCTTGATCATCTTGGTGGTTCACTCAGTGAACCCATCAGTGCTTTTTTTTGAGTTGCTCAAAGCTGTACACACCATTCCTCATGCAGTCTCCAGAGGGGTGTGGAGGGAGGGGAAGGATAACTTCCATTGACTTGCTGGCCATGCTTCTGCCAAAACTGCCCTAAATGCTGCAGTCTTCCCTGCTGCAGGAACCCAGTGTTAGCGTTTGTTAATGTCCTTCATCCTCATCAATTAACAAATGTTTAAAATGCAATAAAAGTTTTGGTCTTGGATCTGTTTGATTTGTTTTTCTCAGTAGAGGTTACATGCACCAGTGTAGCGCAGGGGCTGGATATGTCATCGAGGAGGTAGGCAGGTAGGACTGGTGATTAACACAGATTCGTTTGAAGGATTCTTCCATCCTTTCCACAGGATGCACCGGCTTGGACGAACTGATGGGGATCGACCCTTCCTTTGAAGTCTTCCAGTCCAGCTTGTTCAGCTCCATGTCCAAAGGCCTCGAACGCAGTGTTCAGACGAAAGCAGTAAATCAGCAGCTGGATCAGAACATTTCCTTGTTCCTAATTCATCTGTCCCCTTACTTCATGCTTAAGCCAGCTCAAAAGTGCCTGGAATGGCTGATTCACAGGTATTGCAATAACTACTCTATATGTCAATAGTTAGGGTTACTTGAAAGGCAACATTTTTCCTTTTTGGTAAGAATCACTTTGGCCAATGTTACCAGAGTAGGACAGGTTAAAATAGCAGTTCAGGCCTTGTCTTTATGGGGCCCGATGTCATTCTTTCCAAATTAGACTTTTGTCTTCTGATACATTTCTGTGAAGATACAGATGATGATTCCAGGATAATTTGTGTAAAAGCAATTACTTCTTTGCCTGGCTTCTACTGAATTTGCCCATTTCTAGCCCCTTAACAGAGAACTTGCTTAAAGAGGCTTTTATATAAGCTTTGAAAAAAGAACTGCATAAAATAGCAACTTCTCAACATAAACTATGAATGATACACCTTTGTATTATAAGGTAACAAGAGATAAATATTCTTAATTCAGTATAAGAAGGTGGGAGGAGAAAGTAAGCCAGGTATTGGGAAGAATTGTCTTTTATATGAGTAGACGTACCATATCATGAAAGAATGAGAGGATGATTGCTATTGAGACAGCCTTTGAATCCCAATATTTTGTGTTTTATACTAAAATTCATACAAAATTGTTATAATAGCCAGATTAGTATTAAATACAGGAGAATATATTTAATACATAAGAAACTAAGGTGAACTTATGTCTTTGTGTCTTATGTAAGAACATAAAGAAGAGTTGAGGAGATTTGCTAGTGCAGTGTCTGTCTTGTAATGTCGTCTTATGCCTGTGAACTAGTATCCCCCATTGGATTTGGGACTGTAAAGGCACTCACTGATTCAGGATGTTCATCTTCTGTGGTTTTGCTTGAAAACAAGCAGGCCATGTGGGGCTTTGTTTTCACTTGTTTTCAACTTGATGAGAATTATTGACAGTATGTAAATGTTTTTTGTTTGTTTGTTTTCAGATTTCACATCCATCTCTACAATCAAGACAGTTTGATTGGTTGTGTTTTGCCATATCATGAGACTAAGCTATTCGTGAGAGTTATTCAGCTTTTAAATATAAAAAATCCAACTCATAAATGGCATTGGCTGGATCCAATAAGGGTAAAGAACTTAACAGATGCAAGTTAGGAGAAACATGAGGAACTTATTAATACTATCTTACATCTGCTACTGGCTTTATGAATGTGCTCCACCTGTTCATGTGATTAGTTGTGGGACTGTACTGAAAGATTTAATTGCAGAATTGGAGCTGGAGTACCCACCTGTTGTTTCTGCTGTCTCTCTTTGTATGTAAAGTTAATTATAAAAAACTTTGATTTTAATTGCTGTTTTTTCTTTTTTTTTTTTTCTTTATCTTTGAGGGGGAAAAAAGGATATTTTTAAGGTGCCAGTATTTAGTATTGCTAGGAAGGCACATCAACAACTTAAATAATTCTTTATTTAAATATAGACTATGTATAATGATATTCATCAAGTGTCTTAATATGGATTTAAAATGCTAGAGAGATCAGTGTTATCTGATCATTAGGTTTAATTTTAAGAGATTACGTTAATTTTTTGTCAGGTGCGTCGGTGTAGAATATTTATTTTTCTTTTTTTTTTTTTAATTTATTTTTAAAACCATGGAAAGAAACCTGGAGTCCCACTGGCAAGGGGTACTCTCATTACACACTGCTACAAAGACTTGGATTTCATGGATTTCATCTGCAGGCTGGTGTCAAAATCTGTGAAGGTTGTCCATTTATTTACTTTAGAAAAATATTTATGTGTTGCTTTCCCAGTCTTTATATTTGTGTAATATTATGCAATTTACCATTTTTAATTTTGTGTCATTCAGTAAAAGGACTTTAACAATGTGAAAAAAAATATTTATACATATTTATCAGAAATTGCTGTAAGGAAGTTTTTAAGAACTGAATCATGAGTTTGGTCTTCCAAACTCATTCCCTTTCTTCATTTCTATTTTTATGAACTCATTTCTGCCATTTGTTTTACAATTATGCTTTGAATTTGAGGGTTATCAAGTGGATGGAACTCTCAGATCCCTCTTTTGGGGTTGTCATGGTTGTTGTAGGTGTATATTTTCAAAATTGAGGAGAACTTAAGATTAAGAATGTTAATTCTTAACCCTTAAGAGGGTAAGAATGTTACCCTCTTGTTCTAGGAGGGTAAATGGTCTTTTGTTGTTGTTTTCTTTGCATTAATGACCAAAAAAAAAAAAGCCTGTGTGTGTTTATGGGGAGATAGTACAAATAGCAGTCCCCGTTATTTAGAGAGCTGGCATGGATGTGCTGTCTGAGTAAGCAGAGCACGTGCAATAACAACGATTATTCAGATATACATTAGGGCTGTTAAAATTAAATATGCCTCAGTCAGCTTTCAGCTGTAAGTTCAGTCTTAAGGATAACACCAAAACCACAATTTTAAGTTACCTTGCTGTGGAAAACTGCAGTAGCTGAGGACTGGCACCCATTTCCTTTTACCTGGTCTGCAAGGTGGAGCAGTAGCCTCTAGAAGGGCTCCTGGAGGATGTGCCTTCAGGCTCGCTAGCAGAAGCTGGTAGAGCTTGTGTCAAGAGATTGAAGTACTGCATTTTTCTTGAGAAGCCATACTTGTATTTACACCTTCCCTGATGTCTGACCACCTCTTTTGAATCCGGCCTAGGTCTTTTCAGAGTATCCTGGCAACTCAGCTCAACTGAGAGTTCTTCTCGCGTTTTATGCTTCCACCATTGTGTCTGCTCTTGGAGCCATGGAGAAGATAACGGATTCTATAGTCTCCATACTGCTCCCTTATATCCAAAAGGTATTTGCTTTCCTTCTCATGTGTTGACATGTAGTGTATTTTGCTAACATTCAACAGCGACGTTTGCAGCTGTGCAAGGTAGGATGTATATGAAGTGCACTGTACCACTTTTGCCCTGCTTTGGAGCATAAGGCAGGTGGAGGTTCATGGTAATAAATGTTTCCTGAAACTTGAGATAAGCTCTTAAAGAATTCTATTCTCTATTTCCTACTTTGCGTGAAGGACAGGGCTGAGAACTGTATGCACAGCCTAAACTCCTTCCTGTTAAAGACTTACTGGGGTAAACAATAAGGCTGTGGAGTCAGAGCGCACAACTTGTTTTGCTGCCTTTTCTGCTCCAGCGTATGGGAATGTTAGTCTGTTAGGGAATGTATGTCTTTTTGCATACATGTGGGCTATACATGATAACATTTTTTTCTTATGATTGAATTTATGGTTTATTTAACAGTTAACACATTGAAAACAGAGTGATTCAATGAATGCCTGGATGAAACTGATTTTTATATTAATATGTTTGGGGTTTTTTGTTTTTGAATTTGCATATGTCAAAAAGGCTTCCTTATCTCGTTTCCTAGGGCTTGAAATCCTCGGTAGAGGATTACAGAGCTGCAACATACATGATAATCTGCCAGATGACAGTAAAAGTGACAGTGGAGACATCCTTGGTGCATTCCTTGATGTTACAAATAAGCAAGACATTGCCTAAAGTGCCTTCATTAGCCAGGGAAGGGGTGGCATGTTTGAACCTTCTTCTGCAAACTCAGAAAGGAGACAACCTTGGAAAAAAGTAAGACTGTGTGAATCAAGTTCCCTCATTTTAAAAACTTAAACTTCATTTTGATATTTCGAACGCTTTCATCCTGCTCTTTGAAGGAGTGTGTTCCTATTGGAGGTAACAGCTATTGGATAGCTGATATTTCAAAGGAGTATGAAATTATTTCTTGCTTTGAAAATTTGTATGTTCATTATAGCAAATGATAGTCTCTGTAGTGCAAGTTTTGATTTTTGGTCCCTCAGTTGTCACCCTTTTCAACAAGGCATTGAATTCAACATGCAGAACTGCAGCCTGCCAGTAAAAAGTTATCTTAAAAATGGGAATCCTGGAAGAGAAGCTAACATGATAATGGCAAATTTGGAGTTACCTGAACAGCTTGAAGAAAAGCAGCCTTGTCTGGCTGAATGGAAGGATTTTGAATTTTTTGGTTTTACACATGAAGTGCTAGTGCATTGTTTCTTTGGTCCTCAAAGTCAGCTGTTCTTTCAGAAGTGCTTGTGGTGTTTCAGCCCTTTCAGCCTCTGTCACAGCCTGAGGCAGTTGGTTAGCTGGTGCTGTAACATGCAGGCAGACAGAGTGGTGGAAGTACTAGATGCTACGGGAATTTCACTTGCAGTTAGAGAATTTCTCCCGAGTACTGCAGTAGGTTTGATTTCTTCTCTGCTGGGATGTGCACACTGATCTCCTAGATACATGGAAACAGTCATGGAATGGGGACATGGGTTAAAAGCAGAGGAAGGAGGCTCTAAGGAGAGGCCTGATAGATGCATTGCACAACACCCAGGCAGTGACAGCCAGGTGGATGTGAAGGGAGATGAGATGAGAGAAATTCTCATTAGCAGAAAGACAGATTGCTTTGCTATGTGGAACTGCTGTCATTGAGTTCTCCTCCTTTACTTTTGCTACCACCAGATAGGTGATACGCTGTTTACAATGCTCTCCTTCCTACCTTCTTTTTTCCGTATAAGTCCTGGAATTTACTGTGCCTAGTAGGAAAGGAAAAAGAGGTGTTTCTGAGGATAGGTCTTTGTGCAATTCATGCAAATATTTTTCCTCGTGTTACTAACTTCTTGGAAACGTGAGGATGGTGGCTGTGCCTTTGCAGCTTCTGTGCTCAACATGACTAGCAGTGGTCTTGCAGAATACGGCATGTGCCAGTACAGCTCTGGCAGTTGGTGCCCTTCAGATCTTTTCAGTGTTTATTTACAGTGAGATTGTTGACTGATGTTGAAAATTGAATCCCTGGGAGTTCTAGGTGGTTTGGAAATGTTAGCAACCCAAAATAATATGCATTTTCCCTCTCTCCCCCATGTTCTCTTGTGCAGGCCATTTAATTACCTGTGCAGCAACCCAGAACTGGTAACACTTTTGCAAGGCCTTTCAGCAAGCTATGATATCTCCTCTCTTCTGGGCTACCTGTTGCCTCACCTTGTTTGCGCTATCATTAAGTGCAATACAGGTAAGTCAGCATATATATAAATATAAAAATATGTATAAATATTCAGCATTCTGTAGAGTCTTACAGGCTGATTGCTGTGGTATATGTCCTAGCTCTGTAATTTTAATTGAGCAGTGGGATTGAAGGGCATGCAGTAGTTTGTGTGTGCTAGTAGGCCTGCAGAGCAAGGTGGCTGTGTGCACTGTGGACTACTCTCCTTGCCCAGCTGAGGTTAAGAAAACCCTTGCTTGAAAAGGGGCAGGCAACAATGTGGTGATACAAACAGGTGATAGCAAATCTGCAATGTTCCAGAGTGTACTTAAATTTATTGGTAGAGGTGCAGCCTTTAACACTTTGGTGACATCAGTATGAAGCACTGCTAGCGGCACATGCTGAGAGTTAATACCAGCAATGGTTAAACATTAGTCTTAGATGCCTGGTTACCGGGTGATTCTGCTGCTTATACAATTAGTTTTAGTCAGCATGGGCAGGTTATTCTCAAACTGATGTTCATATTCTTTCATTTTATATATATACATATATATATATATGTGTGTGTGTGTGTATTTTTCTCTCCTTAGAGGAACAAGAAGAATCAGAAGAGAGAGAGAATAATATTTACATCAGACATCTTGAAGCTATTCTTCAGAGTATAACACTGGAAAAGGATTTGGATCGCCTTTTGGCCTCGTGAGATAACTTTAGATTTTATGTTTTTTTTTTTTTTTCCCCCCAAAGTCAAATACTCACTTCTGGTATATCTTATGACCCCATGTCATAAGAATTATATGATCATGTCTTTTAGTGTCATGTTTTTCTAAGTTCTCATGATAACTCGAAACTTGGATGTTGAACCATGGACATGCAGTAATCCAAAATAGCCACCCTTTTAGTAGTTACAGGAGTCTTTGTGAGACAGTGAATTTTCAGGCTGGGGCAAAGTTGTACTTGGAATAGTTAAGGTGTATTAAATCTAATCACTTTAGTGGCATGTTCTGTGATGTTAATGAAAACCGTTGTATTAAAAATGATGGCCTTTGTTTGTTTGTCGCTTTAGCAAGATCCTTGAAGAGTTTATGTCCTATGGTACAGAGATTGAATCTAATCCCATTAAAATGGCTGCCCTCAATCAGAAGCTGCTTCCTCTTATCAGGCTTTTTGAAAGAAAGTAAGTTCTGTTTTTCTATGACAGACTCACAATGATTGATAAGGGCCTCTATAATTTTAACTTATTCAGCATAATAAGGACTGTTCTTGCCCAAGTAACTACAGCAGAAGCAACTGACCCCTAATCTTTGTCTAAATTATATTAAGTTATCCATGTATATTTTGTCACTTTTGTTGTACCTGTACACAGTGCTTTTGACTTTGTATGACTTTTTGCTGTGTAGCATGACCCTTTCTGCTCATTATTCATCTTAAAGGATTGCATATCATCTATATTAATATGTAATGGCTGTTCTACTTTTGCAAAGCTACTTAAAACAGTTGGTTCAGGTGATTGCATGTGTTTTCAGCTCCCTTGTATTTCCTTGTATTTCTCTAGCAAATGGATGTTCTTCAGTAATGCTCTGTGGATTTTTTTTTTTTCCTCCTGTTGGTAGGTATCCTAAAGCTTTAGACTCTGTGCTGGAGGAGCAACTGGAAGATGTTACAGATCAGGCTGACCAAATGCTCTTTCACCAATTTATTTCTCTTTCATTAAGCTGTGGCAAGTATAAGGTGGGTCAAGTGTCAGTTCCTGGGTCCAGCTTTTATCTAATTGCATGTAAATTTCCCATTTATCATGAACAGTCATGAGTACTATTTTTTTTCTATGATTAAAATGTGCACATTTCCACTTGCCCTCTAATTGCTATCAATATATTCTTATTCTTATGAACATCCCCGTTACTAATTCTGTACAAGTAATGACAACATGGTGGTGTTCAGAAAGGCTTCATCTTACTCGAATTTTTTAAGTGTCAAAGTGTCTGTTGTGGGGGAGGTAAAAAAATAAATTCACTCCAGTTTAGAGAAGGTGATTCAGTCCTCTCAATTATCTCTATTTTACTAATTCCTGAAATCAGTAACATGGAGGAATATAAGGACTACAAAGGTCTTCCTGTGCGTTTTCTCAAGAGTAATTGAAACACAGCTGTAATAGTGAATAAACACAACAAATATGTGTAAGGAACTTTAGGGTTACTTTTTTTTTCTTTCTAAATGATGCTTTGTGTTGTGATTGTTGTTTGTAATTAAGGAACTTTAGGATTACTTTTTCTTTCTAAATGGTGCTTTGTGTTGTGATTGTTGTTTGTAATGATTTGCACAGATTATGTTACTGTGCAAGCGGGTTTTAAAAAACAAAAAAGACAAAAACAGACAAGGCATGGAGAAGGAAAGCACATGACTCTGAGCCTTTAAAACTCCTGAGATAAGATGCAGGCTGCTGGCCTGGCCAGGCTGCCTTTTTAGCAGTTTGTGTTCTGTCAGACTGGCTCTGAGAGCTTTCTCAGAATTCTTAGGTAAGTGTAGTGTTTTTCTAGGACAAAAATGTATTGATGGCTTGCTGTATTTTTAAAGCTGTATTCCACAAACTACCTGCTAACATAAGGAAGACCGCATTTGAAGCAGTTATGCTTCCTCACTGTACCACAGCTGACATTCTGGGTCTGAATTATGCAGGTTTTCTTCTGATATAAAACGTTTTTGCATCTCTGTCGTTATCCTTACATACACTTAAAGTATTTTTAACCATCAGTGAGTCACTCTGAAATCTGTGTTTCAGTTTCTGGAGGACTCTGATACATCTCTCCTGCTTAGTTTGAATCATCCCCAGCCTGCTGTGCGAGTCCTGGCTGTTCAGCATTTGAAAGACATTATTGAAACAGCAAAGGTTCGTGTCTTGAATGTCTCATTCGTAGAACTTCTGTGCCATGTCTTCCTCTGATTTCTGGCAAACAGCTTTTTCAAGTGCTACATTAAACTATTTAAACTACCATTCTGATGTTTTGCTTGGTGTTTCCAGTTAGCTCCTGTCACCATTGCTCCCTCTGTTCCAGAGCCTGAATATAGGTTTTGTTTATGAAGCTCCTTGTATTCTAGGTTAAAATCTAAGTTAGTGGCTACTTACATTTTTCTTGCTGTTGTTGTTAAAAGTTAGCCTGTCAGTTATTTAATTTCAGTGATGTTATCATGCTTCTTGTGCTAGGATTCAACTATTTCATTTAAAGCCTTTAAATTATGTTGCCAACAGCCTTTTTTTTCGGATTTTGTTTGTTTTGTTTCTCTCTCCAGGAAGGCTTTGATCAGTCCTTCATAGAAGAAGCAATCTTTGGGCGGCTTAGGGATGACAACAAAGATGTTGTAATGTCTGCTTTAAGTGCTCTGGAGGTAAGTATGTATGTTTGGATGCGTCAGGTGGGGTTTGAGCTGGTTCTGAGTCTCTATGTTTAGTCTGTTCTTTGTAGTGGCCATTTGTGTCCTGCTCGTCTCCTCACTTTAGGGATATTGTTCTTTAACCTGATAAAGCAGCATTTGTTTAGGAAGTTTTTGTTTTTCACCTTCTCACACTTAGATTTTCCTCAAATTTCTGCTTCCTGGTACTTCACAAAGCATTTTAGTTTGACTGAATTCATTTTATCTGTGTTATGTTTTTTCATGTAGCTACTAAACCACATTTCAGTCTTTGTTTTCTATTTGAAGTGTACTTTTGCTTATGCCATGCAGTCTTTTGTAAAAATTCAAACCATGTCATCTGCCCTGCGCATGAAAAATGGTGCAATGAAAAGTCGTTACTCTAGTTAGAAATGCTCAGTTGAATTTTTTCATGTGGGAGTCATCTGGTCAGTTGATTGGAGCTTAGGACAAGGCTATAGCTCAGGTTTACTGGATAGGACCCTGGTCTGCATTGTACTGATAGTTTCCAGCTCCAGTAACAGTCTTTCTTTATTACTTCTGCTAGTAGTAGCTGAGAATATTTTTAGTAATAGTGTAATTGGTCTTGTGTGTTCGTTCATTCTCAGTCACAAAAGATACGAATAGAAGCACATGAGTGATTATCTTTAAATTTTAATCTTTAATTTTTTTTGTTAATGCCTTTTTAGTCATATGCTACATAAAAGGAAAAAAAAAACATAATAAATTATAAAATGTACTTACTTTACGTTTATCAATTTTGCCAACCATTTCTGCATTAAGGTAAATTCTCCCGACTTTAGCATACCAAGAAGGCATAGTGCCCATTCACATAGCGTTTGTTTTCATGAATAATATTTTTAGTACATTCTAATCGCTAGGAGTTCAATTATCTTTGATATTTCCACTTGATAAGAAAGCTGCACCTTCCATTTTGATGTGTTATGTTTTACTTTATTGTACTTTAACTTCTTTCTCTTTATTGCTTTCCAGATTTTCAGGAAACAAGTCAATCCAGAAGTAGTAGTTCCAAGTCTTTTGAATATCTTTCACAGAGTTGATCTTTCAAAGGATGGAAAGTGGTATGTTATGGGGTGTTTTTTTTTTTTTTTGCTTGTTTGTGTTTTCCGATCTGTTTTCTTTCTGTTTAAACAATTAAATAACTTTTTAAAATCATTTTTACTTTGCTACTATTTTCACAATGCGTCTGTGCTGAGTTATAAGATCAACTTGCAGTTACTTGCACCTTTTGCCACAAATTGATTATTTGTTCATACTTGCTATTTAGTTTCTGAAAAAGCGAAAATGTCAACCAAACAAATGTTGTTGCTGATATAATTGAGCAGTAGCGGGTTTTGTTGTGTTTGTTTTTCTTTTAGGTATAAAGTTCTGGAGCGAGCAGTACAAATTTTAGTCAAAGAAGAGATTTTGAAAAAAGAAAAAGAACTATTAAATGAAGCAGTAATGCAGTTGTTACCTTTTATGGTAATCACTAATGCAAATTCAAAATCCTCAGAATGGAAAATGGCAGTGTGCTTGTCAGATTCTGGTCTTTGCTCATTACACCCTTTACTGAAAGGTTGGCCAGAAGGTAATATGTTAATTATAATTATTTTGATAAAAGAAAAACTTTGGCAATTAAGAAATTTGTTCATTCAACCTTAATGTGTATAGGACAAGACTGGTTACCATTAGCAAGTTATGCTAATAGTATGATTATGTTTTTTAAAAAAAGTTCTTATGAGTTTTTTTTTTTGCATGTGTTTTATGTTACACATTAATATGATATAAGGTGGTCTTGTGGTGGTATTTCTCACTGTACCTCATGAAGGAGCTCTTTTCTTAGACTTGCTGTTTAGTAAATTGAACTGAAGTGAGTAGACAAAACAAAAGGAAGCAAATGGTGGACTTTCTTGTGCTCAGCAAAATCAACTTGATACAGAGAAGAATAAACAGATACAAAGAATTTTAAAAAACAGTGAAGATAAGTGCAAGGATAATGTGTGGGGGCAGAAAAGGAGCTCTTACTGCTGAGCAGGAAAAGCAGAAGTCTGATGTGAAGAATTACCTAGTATGTTTTAGTACGTGACTTACCCACCTTTTTATTTTATTTTTCTTCCTCGGAATAGTTCTTGAAGAAGCAATTAAATCTAGCAAGCCTACAGAGTTAATTGGAGCAGTCAACAAGAAAATGATTCTGCTGTTCTCTGAGAATATGACTTCAGGGGACCCTTCCTTACTACTGCAAATGGTGTGTGCCTTGTTGTCCTGACCTTAAGAGACTTTACTTTCTAGGTGGTTACTCTAGGAGAACAAATGTGATATGGAAGTACTTCGTATGTGCTGCTCTTGGCATTCAGATGTCATCGTCAAGCTGCTAGAGAAATGTATTTATTACTTAACTCCGATATAGTCTTGGTAGAAATAGGTTTCGTTCTTAAAATATGGAAGTAACAAGCCTGTTTAGACAAATTATTAATGTAACAATTCTATGAATTTTTGGTTTCTTGGGGAAAAAAATCTTATAGAGAACAAACATGTGTGACTTTGGCTAGCTCATAAATACTGATATTTGTGAATTCCTGGATTGCAGAAGTACCACTACATCACAGTACATTGCACCAATGATACAAGATAACAGGGATTTAATTGGACACGCAAATGAAACAGCATAAAGTCGTAGCAAAGTCTTACTGTCTTACCGAGTTCTTGTTTCTTCCCTCCCTTTTCAAAGGTTGATGGTCTAATACGTGTTGCTGGAATGGAGTCTGACAGCGTGAGGCAGAAAATAACTGCTCATATAATTGGCTCAGTGCTTGTTCAGTGCTGCTGCAATTCACAGATAAAGGAAAGTTATTTTTCAATGGCTATCAGAGTTTTCTGTTTCTTGGATGAAAAGATACGAAGTCTTGAAGCTTGTCATCCTACAGAGGTAAGGTGTAAGCAGTTTGGAGGTGATGATTTCCCTGTAAGAGAAGGGTCTGTTCTTGAAAGAGGAACAAGAAATTCAGCATCCTTGAGTGCAGGGCCTGCTTTTGTTTTCAAAACAAAATCACGCGCATAGCTGCTACAGTAGGGGCTGTCATTAAGAATTGTTCTGTTAAATTTTAGCACTCTAGTGAGTCCATGGTGGAAGTTTTAAAAGCTCCTGTGCTCTAGGCTAACAGCCTGTGAAGTGATTCAGCCTGTCTCAGTGCTGTGGCTTGGGCACTGGGTTTGGAGCAAATCTGTGAGCTACCCTGTTGCCTCATGTGATATTGTGCAGGTGCAGATTTGTGATTAACATGTTTGCCAGCTTGTTAGGTGATAGGGGAAGGGAAAAAAAACAGTTGAGTACAAAGAGCAGCTTGTATGAATTGCAGTCTCAAGCAAATCCTCGGAACAATATTGACAATGTCGATTCCGGTTTGCCTTAGTTGGTTCACCACACAGCTCTGAAAGCAGTTGTGTTAGCACTTCTGGGGAGGTGGCAAGGGGCAATGAGCTGCCATTAGAGTGTTAAGAGACTATTTCCGCTTTTACTTTGCGGTGCGGGAAGGGGTTGTTTTGGTTTTGTTTTTTTTCGTCCACATTTCCCATTTATTTTTTATTTTTGTTGTTAAAACAGCTTGAGGTCTTTTGTGTGTAACAACCAGCTGAGCGAGGCTGTGTTTTTGAGTGCACTGTCACACAAACACATCTAGCAATACATGGTCATTAATTATTCTCAGCTCTATTAAAGAGTTTATATATGAGCAGATCTATGAAAATCTTGGATTATGTTGTGTAAGCAGAACTGACACTCCTTGTCAGCAGGGATGACACTGAATGTCCATAAACTGCTAGGAGTAACATCTAATCACTTTAAAGAGGTATTTTAGAGGTATTTTATTTTATTTGTATTTTATCCTTCTGTTACCTTGCTTATGTATACTCTTAATAATAGCAGTAATAGCAAATACAGACTTTTTAACTGCAGATCAAATTTTAATTATGAAAATAAAAACATAATTCAGCTCATAAGGATACCTCTTTTGAGGCTGGAAATCAACTGATGCTGAACTACTTGTTCTAAATCTATCATGTTTCCTGTTGGACAGAATTGGGAAGGCAAATGTTAAAATGAATTTTTCATTTGCAGGAAAACCCCTCAAAATGGTCTGTTGAAATAATGCAGGAAAGTTTGGTGCCAGTGGACTTGTTAAATGCCTATATAGAAAAACTCAATAGTGGTCAGACCGTTAGTGCAGAAGATTCAGCTATGTTCATGTTCTTGTTGAAAAACTTCATTAATGACCTGAAACCTCCTCTCTCCTTTTCAAAAGGTAAATGTTAATGCTTTGACTCATCTGTTCAACATAATTTTGAAGTGAAGAAGGAGAACTGATTGTTTTCAGAAGTTTGTTTATATAATATTGAGAACAGTAAAGATTTTTTAGCTGTGAGCAAGAAGTCAGTCTTACCTTGTCTTATAAACAGTCTTGTCTTATAACTGTAGAGATGTTTGTTTTCTCTTTTATTTCTCAAGTTGTTTATATGCGTCTAACATATCTTGTTTTTTAATGATCTGTATTTATAGAAGAAACCTGGTGGAATCCTGAATCTCTGAATCAAGATGGCCAAGACTACCTGCACCTTCTTTTGGGTCTGTTTGACTTGCTAGTCTGTGGAGCTAGTGAGGGAAGGAATGCTGTTCAGTTCAGAGCACTGATGAATCTCTTACTTAAGGTACTCTTTTCAGTTATTTTCTTAATTATTGTTTAGAATTATTAATCAGTAGTTCTTATGTGGAAATTTAGAATTTAAAAGAAAAACAAGAATTTGACCATGCAATATTACTTTGTAGCATTAGAGTCCTGTGAGCATATGGAAGTGCAAGCCTCATTTGGCAAGTCAACCCTAGCTGAATACAGCAACAACAACAAAAACTAAATTAAAAAAAAAAAATGTATCAGCATGTATGAAAGCACAACCCTGATTTGTAGGACAAGATAAACACGTGGTGCTTTGAGTTAAAGCTTCTGTACTTCCAAAGAACAAGGCAAAGTGTTTCCATGTAAAGTTTGTTACAGTTCTTAAAATAAAAATATTTAAAAGAGAAGTTTTGGAAGGTATTGCAAAGCTATATAAATCTTTCTTGATAACATTATCTCTTATTTGCCTGCTCTCACCCATGTAGTGAGATTCTTTTGTTTCTTTTTTGCAAAGAGAATAACTGGATTTGGGCAGTTTTTCTAGAGGATGGGAAGCAGTAAATGTCGCTTCTGAGGAACACAGATGAGGCAGATATTTGACATAGGTTCACGCCATTGTTGCTGGAATTTGATGCTATTTAGTGAAGAGAAACATGTGAAAAACACAGTGGGAGAAGGGGAAAGTAGCAGTGATTTCAAAACGAAGATTTAGGCTTGGGCAATTGCAGGCTGTCAGCAGGGCTGGCAAGGTGTTATCTGGGGCTTTTGAATAAGTTGAGTTTGTATTACACAGAAGGATGTTAGCTTCTGTCAGTCCATGTGATAAGCAAGAACTTAAAATTGATTTGTTGCCCTATGAGGACACAATGTAATTACTTCAGAACAAGAAGCTTCTCGTATAACTCTGACAGGTTCCAAATGCAGATTGGAGAAATTGTATATATATGTGTAAAAACTGATATGAATTTTCTGAAACAACTATAACTATGGAGGGAGAAAACCCATTTCAACCAGTGTCTGAGATGATTGGTCATACATGTCAGATACAGGATGGATTAAATTAACAAACTCTGAATTATTACAAATATTGCAGCAAGTTCAGTATGAAATCTGAGAATGAAGCTCAGTGTGCACGTTCAGCTTGGAAGGCTGAGCTCACAAGGATGTTGCGTGTCCAGTTCTTTAGAGAACCCACCCTTGTACCTTACACAGGGTTCGTCAGGAGCTTTCTTTTCTCAAAAGTCACTAGTTTTAGATCTGTGTCTCCCTTCTTGCTTCCTCCTTTACTTTTGGGTGGTGTATCTGATCTTGTGAGTTGGCCAAATAAATTAAAGCTATAGAACAACTGATTTTTGTTGTTAAATTTAAGGTACATCTAGAAGATTCAGAGGTTCTCTTCAAATTCCTTTCAATTTTGTGGACATACAACTATAACCTTTCAAATCAGCTGAACTATGAAGTCAATGCAATGCTGCAGACCCGAGCTTTGTATATTGGCTGTGCACTGCTTGTGGTGCAGACATACCAAAAGAAGAAACAGCTGCTATCACTGTCATCTCCAGGTAAAGCAAAACACCCTTTCTCACCTTATGGCTTAACCTCATATTAACAAGCAGGTGAAAAAGAGTGTTTCTTTGCTTTTTAGTTTTCTTGCAACTTTATTGTATTTTATACTTTGCAAAGTATCTCTAGTCATTTATGTTCAGCTGCACTAGGCTGAGACAGCTCTATTATTTGCTTCTGGGCTTTTGGCAGTCATTTGCCCAATCTTGGAAATAAGGGAAAGCATTTCTTTCCTTAACAAGAAAGAAGTCAGTTATGGCACTTACTTTCTGTGCACAGTATAAGGATGTGGCAGTCAGTAGAAAAATGTGAATTATTTGAGCTACACAAATAAAGACTGTAGTACTGAAGCTCAGAGTGAGCTTCGTGTTGTTTTTAGGCTGAGATTTAGAGTGAAAAGGTAGAACTTTTTAATTCTAAAGGACCGTTGATACCTCTTAGTAGGCAGATAAGTCAAACTCACTATTTAAGTCTGCTGGTTTTTCTTCCCCCCCCTTGACATTTTTTTCCTTTCCTTTTTTTTTTTTTTTTTTTTCATTTTCCAGTGATGATATCTTTGCTAATTAATTTGGCTAGTCCTGTAAGTGAAGTTCGAAGAGCTGCTCTCAACTGCTTCCATTCCCTAAGTGGGATTAAGGAGTCTGTGTTTCATCCTGTTCTTCAGAGTCTGGAGCAAAAAACAGAAGAGATTATATCTGACCCCACGTACATAGCACAGGTACATTTGTAAAGATGCTTACTGATACACATTTTGTTTGCTCCTGTGAAATCCCATCTTTTCCAAAATGTAGCATGTGAACTGGAAGAATTAATTATCTCTGTCAGGCTTTAGTCAACTTTAAAGGAAGATGATTCATTTGGATGCTTTAGATGATGAGAAACTTGAGAAGTGGAAAGACACACTAATGTGTGTGTGTCAGCCAAACTAGAATGTAGAAGAAAGGGTAGTGATTTTCACTTGAAAAAACAAGGAGAGTTGATATAGCCACTACCATATTGAGAAATGAAATGAAGGAGAAGCTTCGTCACATTTTTTCTGTTTGCAAAATGTAATCGGCTGCATGTGATTGATGTAGTTTGTATTCAAGTTATGTTAGCAAATTCTTCTGATTGCTCAAGCAGTAGCCGTGCTTTCAGGAACAATAATTGTGATAGTGGCTGACGGTGTGCCAGAAAGGTTGCTGCCACTAAGTAAAATACAGGGTTAGTAAAGTCTTGCATGCCCCTTTCCTGTAGGAATTATCCTCCTTATTTATGGATTGAAGAGCCATCCCCAGTGTTTTATCACACATGTGTTTTTGGGAGGTTTCTTTTGTGATGGTTTTCTTCAAATATCATTTTCCTAACATCCTCTAAGGTGCTTGTATTTGTGTGCCATAGTAGATGGATGTTAAAAAAAAAAATAAAATAAAAAAACAACAAACAAAATTTTGTTATAAAGATATACGACTTAATTTTTACTTTGTTAATGAACTAGATTGTGGGAAGTCTATTTGTGTTTGAAGCACCTCAAACAAAGCAGAAATCCCAGAAGAAAAAACTGTCTGAAGCCTTGGAAAGTCTGCTAGATAATGTAAAAAACCCTACTTGCCCATCATATGTTGCAAGAAATCTAATGAAAATTCTTTGTGAAGTCCACGGAGAGGTGAGTGCAGCCTTTCCAGTGTCACACTTGTTTTATGGGGTAGTTACCTTTCCTCACTGCATTAAATGCAGTTAATGTTGACATCTGCTTTTATCTGCGAGGAATGTACTTAATGCTTAACATTCTATAAGTGATACATTTATTTAAGTTAACACCTCAAATAATGTGCTCTAGTTCTGCAAAGTATGATTTAGTGAAACATAAAACATTTTGATACTCCATCAAGGAATGTTTGTGCTGCAGAATTTTGCACTAGAGGAAAGAAATTCCTTTCATGTTATTCAAAAAGGTGGTTTCAAAAGAAAATTCTTCCAGAATAAATTGGTTATCTGGATTACATGTCAGTGAATATATAGACTTTTTCTATATAGAACTGTAACCTAATAGGAAATGCTATTTGCATAATTAATTTTATTTCTAGATGTTAACCTACAATTAAAGGGAAGGTGTGTTGCAGTAGAACACAGTTAAGGTATTGGAAGCTTGCTAAAACAAAATGCATAAGAAGGTAACTTCTCTTGATTTTTTTTTTTTTTTTTTATTGGCAGATGATTCTTTCTCATCTCTTGCCTGCCCTAGACCGTTTGCTGGAGAAGGTCTTGAAGGAACCTGAAGCCATGTTGAAAGATGAAGTTGTTCTCCTGCATCTCATCCTTGGAAAATACGATGAACATTCAGCAACTCTCTTGTCCAAGAATCAGCAGAGCCTGGATTTATTTATCAAAAGTCTACATGCTGCCAATAAAGTCTACAAAGAAATTCCACCTTTCCAGATTACAGCACTTGAGCAGGTGTGGCTTTCTGGAAGGTCTTTGATTTATTTTTATATTTAAAGATGCCAGTGTTAGGGCTTGGATTTAGAAAGACTATTTCTATGTTAAGAGGCCCATAGCATTTGAGCTGTACCTGTGTTCAAGTTCTCTATAGTGATTTAAAACGTTTAAATAGGTGCTGCAAAACTCTTTTTATTAAGCTCGCTTGAAGAAGAAATTGCTGTTTGCTTTATTTATATTTTGTACTTAAAAAAAAAAAAAAAAAAAAAAAAAAGTATTTGCTTGCAGATGCAGGTCAAAACTGGTGTCAAGGCCTGCAGATACTGCTGCTCCAGAGCCCTTAGTTTTTATCAGTTGTGCAGAAGCTTTACTTCATGGCTTTATACTGAGGAAAATTTGTCAAGAAAATGCAGTAGGTGAGAAATAATCTTATTTGAAGGAGGTCACAAATGCATGTTATCCTTTAGCCAGGTTTTATTCCATCCTTATAAAAATTGGGCAACAGCAAGTTGTTTCCCGCTCATCAGCCAAGGTGTGTGGGGGGGAAAAAATAAGAGTGCTGAGATGTCTACGTTTTTCAGAAGTATGTTCTTGGCATGTAAACGTTCCTCCACGTATATAAAGACCTAGGCAATATACAAATGCTTACTAAATGTAAGCATGCATATATGACTTGGTGTGCATCATGCATAACCTAACATACCCAAGATTCATAGCTTGCAATTTTAAGTTATCCTTTTACAGCAGTTCTCTCAAATCCTTTTTCTTCTTCTCTGTTGTAGATAACTAAGCCGTTCTTTGCGGCTGTGTCAGATGGAACAGTACAACAGAAACTGCTGAAAGTGTTGTTTGACTTGCTGTTGAACTGCAAGAACCCACTTTGTGCCCAGACAATAAGCAGTGTGTTTAAAGGGGTAAGTGGTAGATTCTAAAAAACAGAAGTACGTTCAAACTACTGTTGCTGCAACCAAATTCTGTGTTGCTGCAATTAGTCAAGGTCATTCTTTGTATTACTCATAGCTTGAAAGTAATTTAGGTCACAATGTAATTGCATGAATGACATGAAAAGTTTGTTCAGCTACAGTATTTCTAGGATATACATCTAGAAGTGATATATCAAAGGTTAGTTTGTTACACTGTGAGAATGAATTCAGCAGAAATTAGTGCCTAATGTTTAGGGAGTAGGCTGCAGGAGAATCTTTTCTGGATAAAATCTGCTTTTTTGGGGGGGCTGGGGGGAAACAAATGGAGGGAATTGTTTGTCTGTTTTTTGCTTGTTTCCTGTTGTTGGAAAACTCTTGCCGAGATACATGAATTGTGGCTTTTTTATCAATTTATCATATTACATGGACTAGAAATCACATCCTCATTTTCTTTGCTGTAAGAAAAGTATAGTAGGATGAGCGTTCAGAGATTGCATTGAACATGTGGACGATCATACCCATATGTTTAAAAATGAGGCCTATTTAAAACACAAATGCCCTGTAGATGTGTGGTAGGACACAGTTCATTGCAGGTTGTTTTCTGTGTTTCAGATTTCGGTGTGTGCTGAGCAGATTGTCACAGAACTGGAGCCTCCTGAGAAAACCAAAAGTCTGACCACTGTTCAGCAAACTAGACGGCAGAAGATGCAGCAGCAGAGGTAAAATGATTAGAGATCCCCAAATGTTTTTCTTTATGGTCTGAAAACTCCACTTGTTTTACTGCATTTCATAGGTTGTATTGAAAGTGTTAGAATCTCTTTTTTTTTTTTTTTTCCTTCTGCCCTTACACAGAGTAAAATAACTCTTGAGTTACTTGTGGTAGGAGAAAGCCTGTCTGGGTTGCTGTTTGAGAGCTGATGGAACTGTAGTCCTAAATAAGAAAACAAGCAAACAGGAAAAAATAAATAAAAACAAAATAAAACAAAAACAGCTCCTCTCCCAGAACTTATGTTGGCATTTGCAATCATAGAATCTGACTTGACACAGTCGGACAAGGCTAATTTTTGAAGGCATTAAACTTCATTAATAATAAAGATTAATGGACAAATTACTGTATACACAAGTGAAATCTTTAAGGTGCGCCTCAAAATGTTGGTAGCAGTCAAAAGTCAGCATTTTCTTTCAATTAAAAAAGTAAATGTAATAACTTCCAGATTTTTTCATCTTGTTTCCTCTCTGTACAAAGAAAGAGCTGTTTCATACAATTTACTTACTTTCTTCCTTAAGCACCTGCTATCAGCTACTGTGGAAACAGGATGTTGGGTTGGTTTTCTTGGTTTGACCTAGAATGGCTGTTCTTATGTCCTTACCTCACTGGAGCTTCCTTTAAGGGTCACTGCACGTTAGCCTGATCCACCATAAACTTGGTCTGTCGGAGTATGCTCACAACTGCACTTGCTGCCTGGATATCCGGTAGTTGAGAAGATGTAAATTTTCTGGACGCTCCTGGGCCGTTCTGGTCACTGTTTTGACCATTATTGACCATGACCAGCGGCAGATTCCCCGCACGCCCTCTGCCCTTCCCTCTCTCCCCATGGCAGTCTGCTCCAGAGGACAGACCTCATGTGCAGGAGGCAGGCTGCCCGTGCCCCACTGCCCCACGTGTTACACCAGTCCTCTCCATTCACATTTAAAACCTGCTCTTTCTTCAGTGAGAAGCCTGCACACTGCTACTGTCCTTGCAGTGAGGGATGTAGCTGTATGAAGATGCCTACTAGGCTCTTGCCTGGTTCTGGAGATGCCTATCCTGATTGCTTTTCTCATCTTTTTGCAGAAAGCCCCAAGATGCAGAATTGGCACCAGAAACGAGCAGTTTCAGCTGGCAGAGGGTTATGCTTATTCTGGAATTACTGCAGCATAAGAAGAAACTTAAACGTCCGCAGGTGCTGGTGCCTCCGCTTTTTAACCTGCTGAGCCGGTAAGGGCGTCCTCCTAAAACAGGAGTCCGTTTTTGATCTCTTCTGCAGCCAAGAATCTAAAGCATTAGGATATGGGCTCCTTTCCCTGTTGTTGTAGCACTATTCTGTGACTTGCCTTTTTTACTTGCATTTAATTTAGGTAAATCAAGTGATGTGAACGTAAGGTTGCTATTTCCTGGTTGTCCTGTCTTCAGGCATTTATCAGATTATGCGTAGACTGGGTAGCTTTCTTGTTTGTGAGGGATTTTTTTGTTTTTGTTTGTTTTCTTATTGTGTGTTTGCACTAACTGGCAATAATATGGCAGGTAATCATCCGAACTTTGCTAAAGAGCTTTAGCTTTGCTAAAACAGAGTTTTGCTAAAGGTCATTTTTCTTTTTTTAGACCAGCTGATGTATTTGAATGCAAAAAAAAAAAAAAAGAAAAAGGCAGATGTTTTGGGTGTAGACACTTTACTTTTTAGAAGCCTCATTTTAGAACTTCTGTAGCAACAATATTGCAGTTTCTTATTTGTATTTTTAATGTGCAGTCTACTGATTTTTCCATCTCCTTTCACTTTTTCTTAACGTGTAGATGTCTGGAACCTGTAGCATCAGAAGAAGAAAATATGGAATATACAAAGCAGCTAATCCTCAGCTGCCTGCTAAACATCTGTCAGAAACTGTCTTCGGATAGTAGCAAGATTCCAACAGGTAAAACTGCCAGACCCTTTCTAGATTATTTTCTCACCACTTCTGCACTGATACAGTGATGTCTGACCATTGTCTTCTGTGTGTGTCTATAGTGTATTGTTCTGGAAAGACACATTCCTCCACAGCATGTGTGAGTTGCCCTGTTAGTCATTTTGTTGTAGCTCACTTAGGTCTAATCTGCAAACAGAAACCAGTGACTGAGTGTACTCTTTATTATTGTGTGATTAACCACTAAGGTGTGTATTAATTGCAGTTTTTGTTTTTGTGGGTTTTTTGCTTGTTTGTTTGCTTTCCTTGCAGATGTCCTTGATAAAGAAAAATTCAATGTGGAATTGATAGTTCAGTGCATCAGGATATCTAAAATGCCCCAGACGCATCACCATGCCCTGCTCCTCCTTGGTGCTGTTGCTGGCATGTTTCCTGTAAGTAGTATCTGAACCTCCTGTCTCACCTTCCTGTTCTGGTTAAACCTTTGGTATATTTTCTTTTCCCTTCTGCAAAAGATTTTCTTTTCCCTGAATGCATAAGACGGAAAACACCTGGCCCAACAATATAAGTATTCTTACAAATTCCCAGCTTATACTGCATTGAGAAATAGACTTTTAATTGATGATAAAGCAAAGTTTGGTTGTAATTGACTGAGAAACAGACTTTTCATCTGCAGATTGAAATTTGACTATATACTAATCATTTTAAGTAGAATTCTTTTGCTTTGTATTTATAACAGCAGTAAAATATATTTACAGAATCTGGAAATCCAACTTTTTTTCCTCCCTAATTAGGGCTTTGATAGGATTTTCTATTTTAAAATGAAATATTTAAAATATTAGAAAATTCAAATACAAGTCACACCACTAATACGAGTCATAACCACAATTGATATTGTGGGTTATGCTCATGACCCAGAAAAGCCAAAATTTAATGTGGATGCGATTGCTTTTCACAGAAGAGGTCAGGGGTAAGATGATAAAAATCACTGGAAGCTGTGTGCCTCAATCGTGTATCTCTCCATAACTGCTTTTTGCATGTCAGTGCCATGGCACTGAAAATTACTTTTATCAATTTCTACTCTTCATTTATTTGCTTAGCAGCATATCTAGGTCTCTAATGTTTAACACTCTAGCAGTCACCTAAAAAGTAGCTGTAGGGGATGCCAAACATTAGAAATAAGTTTAGTGGAGGTTTTTTGAAGATGATAGTGAGAATCATTACTTTCTTCTACAGGAGTCTAATAACATTTGGGAGAAGTAGAGATGCCTTACAGTATAATATACAGGAAAGGAGACAACAAAAGCACAATGTTCTAAAAACAAATTAATCTTATCTTCTTTTTTTTTTTTTTTTTTTATCCTCCAGGATAAAGTACTCCATAACATCATGCCCATTTTTACATTCATGGGAGCAAATGTCTTGCGTCTGGATGATACTTACACTTTCCAAGTAATTAATAAGACTGTGCAGATGATTATTCCTGCTCTTATACAGGTAAATTTGTCTACTTAGTGAAAAGGAGTACAAAATGCTCAACAGTAAGATCATTGCTAAAATTAAAAGAGCATTTTAGAATGTCAGTAACAAATTGAACTCTACCTTATTCTAGGATTTAAAATATGTATCAACAGACTGGCCTTTGTCTAATCACCTATGAATTCAGCAAAGACTACTACTACTTGTTAATCTTCTGAGCTCCTGAATTTAACAAATAATTTGGTCAATAGAGTGTCATAGCAGAACCTTATTAAGACCTGAAACGTACTTTAAGCTCTTGTTTTTTCACCAGAGAAGTATCAGGAAATATTGAAAATAATAAACAGATTATGATAGTCATGGTCAATGATAGTTATTATCTGAAAGAAGGGTATTTTTTAGGTTTTATTTATTTGGAGGGGGGTGGGGGGACAGGGTTGTATCTGGACATTTTAGATAACTATTTTTGAACCAAAACAGAAATGTTTTTTTAAATGGGGCAATGAATGTTTTTCAAAGCGGATGTTTTTCTTGAGTCAGATTTCACTTGCACTTGCAGCTAATACATGTTCTTTTTTTTTATTTTTTTTTTCAAATGTTTTTTTTTTTCAGTCATTTATAGATTTAAGTGTGAAAAATGCCACGTGATTTATTTATTTATTTATTGTTATTTTTTTAAAGTACAAAAATGCTTTTCCTACTCTCTAATGGTACCTGATACTTTTTTCATCCAGGACTCTGTTAAAGAAGTCAAACTGTTATAATTATTAAACATAAATAAATAAAAGTGATTGCAGCCATCACTTGTTATTGTGACAAAAGTATTTGTGGTGCATATAATGATTACTCGTAAGGAGAATCTAATTTGACTTCATGTTCTTCTGAGTTCATATACTTCACTTGCATAATTTTTACTAGACTGTAGAAACCAAGGCCCTGAAGATGGGGCAGACTAAGCAAAGTTTTCACAGTGGGCGGCATTACCCTGCTGTAAAAACATTCTCACTGTTTCAGCATCATCAAAGTGATTTTTTTTGTGGGGAGGGAGAGGAATTTTGTTTGAAATATCTTCTATGGGTATTAAATAGGAACTGTGTGTTGGAAAGCTATTAATAGCGTAAAGATTTTTTTTCTTGAAGTACCTTTTTTTTAATTGGTGGTTGCAGTTTTGATACTGCTGGGGTGAGGCCCTTGCTCTCCTTTGCTGAGCCTGTGAGGGAGGACTTGTACCTGGCCGTGCTGATCCTTGAACTGCCTCTGTTGGCTGTTAACAGGCAGAGGACAGCGACTCGCCGGAGGCCTCGGGGAGCGTGGAGGAGGTGGTGGTCAGGATCGTGCGCGTGTTCGTGGACGCGCTGCCGCACGTGCCCGAGCACCGCCGCCTGCCCGTCCTGGCGCAGCTCCTGGCCACGGTGGGCGAGGAGCGCTTCCTCTGGGTGCTGCTGGTGCTGCTCTTCGAGCAGTACGTCACCAGGACTGCCACCGCCACGTCGAGCGCGGAAAAGGTTAGAGATCGGCCTCCTTGGGAGAGACGGGCCTCCTTGCACTCCCTTCATGCCCCTGCCTTTTAAATTACTGTGTGTACAGCACAAGGACAATATTTGCCTAGAAGCTGATAGTTTAATTAGCAAATATGGGGGTTTTTTTGTCTGTAGTTACTTTTGTAGCTGCAGAAGATGATACTTCCATGTATCTCTGGTAGTGGCATTGGTAGCCATGAGGTAAAGTGAGCGAGCGCAGTGATCCCACAGCTGTGCCGGGGTTTGTGCCCCTGCACAAGCACCAGAGCAGCCGGGCAGCAGGAGGCAGCGTTACCTGCAGCTGCTGCTCAGCTGGGAGAGCGCGGCGCAGTGCTGGGCTGGGCTGCTGGGCTGCCCCTTGCTCTGTGGTGACCCACCGGCAGCTTCACCCTGCCTCGAGCCTGCCATGGCCCCCTGCCACTATGAGAGGCCTGGCCGCTGCACTGGGGGCGCTTCCATTTCTATTGGGTGCTTTTCAGACAAGCCTGACATGAGTCAAGATTCCTTTTTTTCGAGTGTTTCTAAATATCATGGTTTCTCTTTAAAAACACATTGACACATGATCCCTTTAGGTAGTTCTAGCCACTAAAAGCTGCACTGTTTCTAGGTGTCAGTTCCAGACTTTTAACTAAATTAGCAGCTTAGCAGTTTGTTGCAGCTTGGGGTCAACCCTTAGTCTCTGGATCCGTTTCACTGCTGCCTAGGGTAGGGTGTGGGTGTGGTGGCAAGTTTTGGTGGTGCATGTGTGCAAAATTCTCACCAAACTCTTCATAGCCTAATTTTCTGGTGTGTTAAAAAGCATTTTTGAAATTAAACATAAGAGAGTAGTTAAAAATGGAGAGGAAAGCTAAGTTTGTTTCCAAAGCTTTGAGCACCCTGCTAATTTCACTGTTCTTGACTAACTTTGTGCGTGATACTCAGGTGTGCCAGTCTTGGCAGTCCTTTAGAGTATCTTGATTTTTTTTTTTTTTCAATGCAAGTCTTTGCCTAGAATGATAAGTTTTTGGCTGCTTTAAAGAATCAAATACTTGCACCAAACAAAATGATGGGAAAAGATAACTGTTTTTCTCTGTCCTAGGTAATTTTTCAGCAAGTTAAGAACTAGCTAGGGGCATCCTTAATGAAATGTGGATTGTTTGACCATTGGTCCCTAACTGAGGTTGAGGACATGTAGTCTGTGGCAGCAGATGAGGGTATTGGACAAGGACCCTCTGGTACAGTTCAGTACATGGAGTGAGCTGATGCATTGTGCTATGCTCTGGGGCTAAGATCCCTCCAGGAACTTGCTGCCATTATCCTTGCTGTTAATCCTGGCAGTCTCCAACCCCCCATGGCATGTTTGCAAACTCAGTAACAAGTCTCTGGGTATGTGGTGAGGTGGTTTTCTTGTTGTTTTTTGTTTTTTAAGTCTTGAAGTAAACATTTTTCTTTCCTTAAACCTAAACAGGATGCTGTCTTGGAGGCAGACACTGAATTTTGGATTTCAATCTGTTGTGAATTTAATGTACAATCTCAGTTCCAGAGTATGATGAAAATAATCCAGTACTTGACAAAGCTGCCAGAGAACAAAGAAGGTAACCACTAAACAGAGCTTGCAAATTCATGTGAACCTTCCTTTTATTCCTCTGGTTAGAAAATTAAGCAATGCAGAATTTCTTTAATGAGCTTCTCCCCCCCGCCTTTTTTTTTTTAATAATATAGTTGAGGTATGTAATTATTGTTGTAATATTAGTTATTTTAGATTTTTACTTTGAGTATTTGCAATCAACAGTACTTCTCATTCAGTCAGTACAGTATGCCGTTTAGTTGAAATAAAAGGCATTATTCATAGCCAGCAAGATAACGGGAACCACCAGTCAGGTTCATGTGGGTTTGGGTTTTTTTTTTTTTTTTTTTTTTTTTAAGGAAAAAAAGGCTTCATTTCTTTCTGCTGCCGTGTAGTGGAGCAATAAGAAAACAATATGATTTAATACTTTGCAGTCTGTTCTTTTAAAGTGTGTTGAGGGTTTGTTTCTTTTAAGGGTAGGGACTAGTGTGGTGATGACACTGCGATCAGTCTTCCCAAATATTTGACATACAGTATTTATCCAAATACTTGACATAATTGAGGCAGGATCATAAATATTGTATGTCTTGTGTAGGCAGTGTGGCATAGCTTTAGCAGCAACAAATAAAGAAAATTCATAAGGGAAACATACGATCAGCTGGGGTGACAGTACTGCTTTCAAGCTGTTGAAATGAAAAAAGTATGTCCTGTATTTTAGACCATCTTTTTTTCAAATTTTTGCATGATTTTGTATCCTTGTTAGTATCCTTGGTAGGCATCTGATTGTGATTTACTTTTGTTCTGGAGTCCGAAATCAGATCTTGTTATCTCTTGGTTACAAATTGATTTTGGATGTGTACTTAACAGATGATCCTGGGCAAAAAACATCAAGAACATGCAAGACGAAGCCGAAAGATCAGGACGGGCAGCTCTTTAATGTGGAGTCTCACTCAGATAAACAACTCCGACATTTCAAATTCTTGTCAGTCTCCTTCATGTCACAGCTCTTATCCTCTCAGAGCTTTGTGAAAAAGGTAATTGCTTTTAAAATGATATTATGTAACTGTACCATCCTACGATAGATGAAGTTTACCTTGCGTTTCATTATGGCTTTATATTCAAAGAGGAGAATAAAGGAATACACTACAGAGTGTGTTCCTCTGCGGACAGCCTTATTTACACAATTTTGAAGTTTCCTGTCAATGTTCATTACTTTAAATAGGACTCTTTCAGAGGGACTCCTCAGTCATGCAGATTGAGTAGAAAAGTGAAATTCTGGCTAGTGTGGATTTCCGGTGGTTCTGAGGCTGAGATGTCGCTCTCAATTTGTGTAAATCCAAGTCTGGGCTGGGGCTTATACTGTCAAGCCTGAAAAGATTAAAAATTACTAAAGATTTGGGTGGGGATCTAGAATGGAGTAGTGCCCAAATGTTTCAACTCAGTGTCATGCACCAGCATGGGATGTAGTTTCTCCTGTGACTATATTGCCTAAGACTTTTCTAGAGTGGCGGCTCAAGTGCAAATATGACAGATTCATAATTGTCATTCATTCAAAATTATTATTTCATAATTATCATGTCATTCAAAATGACTAAATTTAATGTATGCTGGGAGATAAACTTAATGAGGGCATAGAATCTTAATAATTGGGATTTTCATGCTTCCTTTTTAAAACAGGTAGTTGAATGTGAAGAGACACAAGAGCTCCGCAAGTTGGAACAGAGGTATGCTTTACATCAGTTCCATTCTCCCTCTGGTTTCTAGCTTATACTGCAATCCAGGAAACTTTCTGAATTATATTAGAATATATTATTATATTAGAGTATTTTTCTCCAAATATTTTTCCAAAGATACTCTTAATGTCATCATCAGCAGTAGTCGTGATAGGCAATTTAATCAGTTTATTAAATTTGACTCCGAGATCTTTATCTCCGAAAGGTTACTCTCATCAAAGAATTCTGTCCATTATCCATCTTTTTTTTTTTTTCCTCTTAATTTACATGCCCAGCGATAATCTTTATGCTGTTGATGATGAAGTCTCATCAGAATTTTAAAATTTTAGCAAAAGATTGTATTGCTGCTTGGGAGGGGGATGTCGTCATTCAACATGCTCCTGTATTGGTGTAAGAAAACCACCAGTAATCACAGTTTATCATTGTAGTCATTGGGCTGTAACAAATATTTTCATGATGCAAAATGGCAAGTGATTTTTTCTGTGGGAGGTTTGACTGGTGTTTCAAGGGACAAAAGGTGTGAGATTCAGATCAAATGCTGCATTTCTTAAATTATCATTTTGAGAATTCTATATATTCCCAGGTTGATTTTCTTTTAAAGTGGTAAGATGTTAAGGTAGATGTTGGGGATACTTGGTAGACTTTAATCTACACATATGAGTTTTGCTATTGCTATAGTCTTTTCTTAGTATATATTTATAAAAGATCTGCTAATCTTCTCCAGTAAGTGTTTCACTTTTCTTTCTTGTTATTGTTCTGAGAAATTTTGTGTTTTCTAGGAATAAAGTTAACTTCTTGGGTGTCCTTAGTATGTACTAAAAGCGCTTTCTTTCTTTCTAGGTTATTAGAAGAAGTTCTTCGTTATATAAACACAGTGGCATCCTCAGTGGAAGGAAACGCAGAGAAGCCAACAGCCAAATTTTGGAGGGTTTTGCTTAACAAGTCCTATGATATGCTGGATAAAGTATGTATCATTAGCCCCCTCTTAATAGTGGGGTTTTTCTGCTTTTGATTATTAATATGATTATAACCTTTGTAGTGTTCTAATTAATATTATTAATATCACTTAACTCATGACTAATCTTTATTAGATAGTAGGCAACTTGTTGCATCATTTAAACTCATACGATGCCAACAGTTTTAGAAAGAAGAAGCCAAAAAGAAATCCAGGAATGTTGATTTCCTCCAGTTAGTACTCTGCTGTCTGGAAGCAGTTGTTTCACTCATTATCTGATAGGGAACAATGGTGTTTCTCAGCTTTTCTCTTTGTTAACTCAAAATGATTTAATTAATGCTAGTGAAACTGCTTTGTATTTCTGCATGGAATTTAAAAGGAGGAAAAAAGAAAACATGTTTTTTTTAAATCCTTTTTTGATCAGAAGGATTGTGCATGCATGGGGCCCCATGAAAAATATTTCAGGGCAAGGAGGGATAGCTAACCAGTTTAGACACAAGAAGGGGGAAGTTGCTGAGAAAGACAATACCTGCTAACTCTAAGGCTTACTTTGGGGCTGCTGTGTCCCAGTGAATGGGATAGTCATGTTTGTGTTTTCTTGTAGGTCAATGCCTTGCTGCCGACAGAAACCTTCATCCCTGTGATTAGAGGCCTCATGACCAACCAGCTGCCCTCTGTGAGGCGCAAGGCAATGGAGCTCCTGAACAACAAGGTGCAGCAGCGTGCCAAGTGGCAGAAGGGCCAGGTGAGTGAGGCCACGCGATGAACACCCAGCTCCTCTTGCCAAGCAGGGCAGACGCTGAGGTAGGAGTGCAGTGCTCTGGCTAGTGACATTAGGTACCAGTGCCAAGCTTGGCAGGCACTTCTTCAGTAAGATGGGGTTGCCTGCCTGTAGCTATTTTGTAGTGCCCGAGTTGTTAACTGCATGTCTAATTTGCGTGCGTGTTGCTCTCTTTGTAGATTCGGCAGCTCCTAGAGCTGGTTCCTCACCTCATTGCAATTGTGCAGTGTAAAAGGGAGGAGGAGGAAGAGGAGGAGCAAGCCATCAACAGGCAAACTGCTTTGTTCAGCCTCAAGCTACTCTGCAAAGGTTTTGGCACGGAAAATCCAGTGCCATTTATACCTGTTCTGAAAACTGCCGTTGATCTGATATCTTCAGAGAAGGAAGAGAAGAATGTGATGGGAAGTGCTCTGCTCTGTATAGCTGAGGTCACCTGCACTTTGAAAGCCCAGGCAATACCTCAGCTTCCAAGGTATTGCAGGGTTCTCTTTAACAGAACTAAAGGCAAGAGGAATTAAGAAAAAATAGCAGGTTAAGTGACAGTCTGCCCATGTGTGTTTTGCATAGATATGAGTAAAGATGTTCAAGTTGCTTCCTGGTTGTGAGGCTCCTGGGCAAACTGTCAGTCTGCTGCTGTGCAGTGAGGCAGTCTCTATGGCTTTAGAGAAGTGTGTTCTGTATTTTTACTGTACAGTAGATCATATTTAAAAACATGAGCAATACAGTTGGAAACCCTGTATTTTACATTATCTTATATCTACCTCTACATTATCTTATATCTACCTGTACATTAGGTGTAAACTACATCTAATATCTTTCATTAGCTTTTAAGAAACAAAACACAGCAAAAGAGTACAGAAAGTTAACTTTTTGGAAGTATACATGTGAAAATTCTCTGCAGTCTTAAAGGACAGGATTAGTGATCTGAAAATGTGCCTCCGAAGTGTCAGTTGTTTCACCTCTCCATGTGTACTCTTGGCTATTTGTAGGCTGATGCCAGCACTGTTGAAGACTTTAAAAAATAAGAAGGAGCTGGTCTCCAGTGAGATCTACTTGCTGAGTGCTGTGACAGCTCTGCTGAAGGTTGCAGAAACGTTATCACACTTCCTCAGTCCCTACCTCTTGGACTGCTTGCTTCAGGTGAGCTGCCCCTGTCCTACAGATACCTCAAGTGGGCTGGACTGCCCAGCTCCTAGAAGGGGCTAAAGGTAGTAATTATTTTTCTAGCTCTGAAGCTGAAGCAGGAATATCCCATCAAGTAGGTTATAACCTGTTACTGTTCTACTCGCCTCCACATGCAGATCACTAAGATGTAAGATGTGTGATAGTCTCCTCCCTCTGACAGATTGTAGTTTGTCATTTTGAGGACGGGGAGCAGTCCTGAAGAATCCTGTACACAGACATCCTACCTTAATGTGCTCTCATGGGTACAAACAGCAGCATTCCAGTCTTACACTCATGACAGGGGCTCTTGGTTGAGAGCAGTGGCTTGCAGCACTGAGTGTGCTTGTCACTGCACGTGTTTGCAAGTACTAATATATGTAAGCACGTGGCCCTATGATGCGGCCTGTGTAGTTGCTTTCAGGGAAAATTGTGCTGAAGGACAACTTTAAACAAGTTTCCTTGGTGGCTTTCAAGTATACTAATTTTTGCTGCTGGATTTCCTCATAGGTTGTCCGCTTGGAAAAGATTGTGGTGGAATTTGGTCCTGCTTCCCAGATCGGCTTGCGTGTAACGTCACTGAAAACTATCCTCGCTACAAAGCTTGCACCCAGAATACTCTTGCCTGCAATTACCAAGTGTTACAGTGAAGTTGCAAATACCAGGAAGGTTAGAGGAATGTTTGTTTCTGTGTCTGTTTCTGAAATGTGTCTGTTTCTGAAATATCTCTTTATACTGGGAAGTTTATACAGAGAAATTAGAACTGGGAGGAATATGCCAGGTTACTGTTGTTGGCGTGCTAGAGCGCAAGTGCATGCAAGATGACTTTGTTCACAAAGGCCTTTCTTCATCTCGTGGGAACATGAGTTAGGAGTTATAATTGTCATCTGGGCTGTCCTACCTCACAGTTCAGTCTTGACTGTGCCCTCTCTGGGATTGGAGAAGGGGAGACCAAACTTTTTCAGAAGTTCTTCTAGCTTTAATCAAAAAAATAATTAAATGAAAAGTTGTAGTTATTGATAATATTTTTATGAGTAAAAGAACAAAAATTCACTTTCCTTGTTACGTTTCTCAGTTACAGTGGTCTTTGCTTGGCTTTGCTTTTGTTCTGACAGAACTGCTTGGGTCCCCTTATGAACATGCTGAAGGAGCACATCATGGTTATGGAGAAGGAGCACTTGATCTCACACCAGTCTGAGCTGACAGCATTTTTCCTGAAAGCCCTGGACTTTCGAACAGAGCATGCCCTGGTGGGTGTTTTAGGGGAACAAATACAGGCAGCTTCCACATACTAATTCTGTTGGTTGTTCTGAAGAACGCTACAGTCACAAGTCAGAGCATACATGCTCTGAGGTTTTGGGCATCAAGTATTCTGTTCTGATATATATATGTAAAGTACTATAGTTACATCTTTAACTGGCATAAACAGAATAGAAACGTTTTGAGAGCTCTGTTTCTTGCATTATAAATTTGGAACTATGTTTTCCAATTTTTCTAGGATGATTTGGAGGAAGTTGGTAAGACGGAGATGTACATTATCGACTGTCTAATCAGTATGGTTATAAAACTTTCCGAGGCTTCTTTCAGACCCCTCTTCTTCAAGGTAAGGAGTTCAAATGCGATCCATCTGCACCAGTAGCTTGTTAAAGCTCACAGTAAAATAATCCAGAGGGGGAGCCACCACTTGGCTTTAGTGAGTTGATTTTATTCACCAGCACAAGATCTTTGTGATAACAACATCCACCGTGAACTGGTGTGAACATCACAGGGGATATGTGACTGTCTTGCTGACTGGGGTCATCTTTCTAATGTGATTCTTCCAGAATCTTCCAGGCGAGTTCCGTAAGATTATCTGCTCTTTGCATTGTCAGCAAGGCCAGTTTTAATTCATTAGTGACTTTTGCAAACGGATCAGTTCTTTAGCAAGCTTAATATTGTTTGCAAATTTAAGTGAAGCGAGACTGCCCTGCCTCCCCAAGACCTCCTACCTCCCTCCCTTGCCGTTAGGGGAATGTACGGCAAGTTCCCACCTCGTGTCTGTGGCACATCAGCAGCGTGCTCACGGTCTTCAGTGTCAGCCCATAGCTTGGCCATCCATCAGCAGCTTTGTATTTACCTGAGCCTGTGCACGGGAAGGAGCCTCTCACTCACTGCCTGTCACTTTCAGCTCTTTGACTGGTCAAAAACAGAGTGTACCCTGAAGGACAGGCTGCTGACGTTCCACCGGCTAGCGGACTGCATTGCAGACAAGCTCAAGAGTCTCTTCACCCTGTTTGCTGGACATCTGGTGAAGCCGTTTGCTGAGACACTGAACCAGGTCAACATCTCCAAAACTGGTAGGTTTTCAGTATCTGCCTTATAATTGTGTGGTAAGTGTGCAATCACTATGTGTTATCTCCTTTAGTTATGTTCATAACAAACATAACTAGCTTGTGGGGAGGCTTTCTAGTCCCTGTGATGGTGATTTATCTTTTCCCCTTCTCTGCCTCGCCCACACAGATGAAGCTTTCTTTGACTCTGAGAATGGCACCGAAAAGAGCTGTTTACTGTTGCAGTTCACCATGAACTGTCTGCATAAACTCTTCCTCTTTGACACCCAGAATTTCCTGAGTAAGGAGAGAGCAGAAACCTTGATGATGCCTCTAGTTGATCAGGTATTGCCACAAGTACAAAAATAATTCATACCGGGTTCTTTTTTGAGTTAGTATCAGGCCTCAGTTTTCCCACCTCATAACAAAGGAGGAATTAATTTACTGTCATGGAGGGACAGCCTGTATTAGCTGCTGCCTAAAGCTCTGAATTACCAGGGTTTTTTTTAATCTTCTTTGTGAGCTTACACACTCCGTGAAGTTTCTGTATGTTCTTGAGGTGTTGCAGAACCAGTGCCCTCCAACCAAACTCTTAAATACTTTAAAGCCTATACTAGAAGACTCTTGGCAGTGTTTATGTTGGACTGGAATTATTTTACATGCTTTTTGACTTCCACAGCTAGAAAATATGCTTGGAGGAGATGAGAAGTTCCAGGAACGAGTGACAACCCACCTGATACCCTGCATAGCTCAGTTTGCAGTGGCCATGGCAGATGACTCTCTTTGGAAACCACTGAAT